AAATGCTAATTCAAACGCCAAGTCAAAATCTTTACCAGCAAGCTAATGGGAAACTCAACACCACTCCCTACTGAAAACTTACTTGACTAGCTAGACACAGCTGCAGTTATGATAAGTTGCATCTTCCTAGACAATTCAATGACAAATCAGAGTGGTAAGATGAAAGATTACTTCATCAAATGTTTCCTCTATCTGTCGAATAACATCAATTTCCCTCAGAAATCCATATATGAACTTTCCAGTCATTTAATAGTACCAATACATGCTCAGAAAGAGATGCAGATAAGCAAGGTGGAACAGAGGCCTTACTTACAATTAGTTTAGGTCTTATTTTATTAAAAATTTTATGTTACGCTTGTACCAAAGTACACATTTTCCATATTTAAATTAACTTAACCTATAAATAATGGAATACATGTTCATTTCAATTATTTCATATGGCTTAAATAAAATCACGCAGGAATTCTTTCATGTTTTCAATGAAATCTAAAATTCAGTTTAATTCTTGCTTACCCAGATTCTTAAAATTCAATCTTCATTCACCTCCAGAAGTTAATATTAAACACAAAAGCCTAACAGTGACCACTTAATTCAAATATATGTGAGCAAAAGGGGAACTAAATTTCAACCAATTATGCTTTCAGTCAGATGTATAACTATACCAAAGAAGAGCTGATCTCCAAACTTCCGCTTTTATTTTATCTAGCCCCCCCTCCCTTTATTTAGTTATCTTGAAATAAAAGCTGTAGTTACAACTTTGCAAGCATAGTCCCACTAGCGGCAACTTGCGTTTGTGTGACTGCAGTTCTACAATCAGGTCTCAGGATCAGCGGAAACTTTTGGCACCGCTGTACCTCATGTCAGTCTAGCGCACGAATTTACACCTTTCTTCTACCCAAAGAACTGTTCCTTTTTCTTCTCAGCATTCTTAATGGTGATAAATTTAAATATGTAAGCTTCACCTTTTATTCTACTGAATATTATGAAAGCAGATCTCTCTGCACCTTTTTTTTCTTCCAAATAAAATAGAAAGCAGAGACCTAGGAAATACATACCAGTAAACAAAATACTTGTACCAAATGATAACAAGGTCTGACCTTACATAATAGCCTGAATTAAACCAAGCCTGGAAGAATTACAATTTAAAAGATACACACTTGATCAGGAAATAAATATACGAACAGATGGAAATAGTCTTTAGATATATATTTACTGCAGAATTCAGTTTTCATTCTTTTATATTTACTCTTTTGTACTGTACCATAGCAAGAACACAGCAGCACTAGATGGAAAACGTCACATATCTGACTTTGAAAACTTAGCATTTCAATTAACTTCCTACGCGTTCTGAATTAAGGAACACAAGATCAACTATAACATTAACCTATGCCTAGCTCATGCCATTTGTTCCATCTTCTTAAAAATATGATTTTATTACAACATTGGTCTGATACGTTATGAATTACCAATTTTAAGAGCGGGGGGAAGGAATAACACATCTTGTTCTTTCTTAGGCCCCTACTGTAAATAAAGCACTTTGCCACTGTATGCTGGTACAGCCTGCAACTCCAGTCATGTATTACTTCTATCTCAGTAAAATTTAATTACAGACAGCAAAACTCCTTAAGCAACACAGAAGCTTATACATGAATACTGTGGAAAGTTCTGCAGGGACACATCACAGTTATATACTCTAAACTTGGTGATACGGGAAGTTTGCTGCAGTATGCTTGTTCTCAAAAACAAGACTAAGGCATCTTTCATGTTTCTAATGAACATTACAGAATATAGCAAATCGGAATACAGTTTATAAAAAAACAAAAATCATGCTGATTTTGCCTCAGTGAAACTGAGGGATAATAATTAAATACATGAAATTGAGGTGGTCAATAAATATAGTAGAAAATATTATGTTTTACTGACCAAAATCCTCTGAAATAGTAGCTGGGGGAACAGTAGAACTGTGGGCAGGACTACAGTAAGACAGAAAAAACGTTTACTTTTATGAGAAGAGAGCAAAGTTCAGGTATTGCTGTTTTAAGTAGCATATAGTCTGCTACCGCAGGTCAAACAGTCTCCTAGAGAAAGATCCTGGCAGATGACTGAAGAAAGGTGTTTTGATATGCTTTCAATTTCTACCTCGTACATCAAGTCAAAACATATATTCTAATGCTCATCTGTTAACCTGAAATTTAAAATACAGCTTAGCTATGCAGAATACATCCTCTAATATAAATTATAGGAGGCACGTAAACACGTTGCATTTGTCTCAGAAGAGACTGACGGTGGGGCCTGTTAGTAGGAGGCTGTCGTTCACCACTCTACACCTTGTTATGGCCACCAAAACAAGTGAAGCCAACTTGCTAACAGACAAGAACCAGTTAAAAAAATCTGTAGTAAGCAGCTTTCTTGTACCCTGATTCAAATGACAAAAACAAGAATGAATTATGATTTGGTAAAAAATGAAAAGGAAAAAATTGGATCAGTTTTTTTCTTTACTCACCAGACAACACCAAAGGCTCCATATCCAATAGGTCTGTCCGGCTCAATATCCAGTTGCTGTTGTGGATGTTGTGAGTGCTGATGATGGTGCGCTTTAACTGCAGCAGCTGCTGCAGCTTGCACCTGAGCTGGGGCTGCTGCAGCTGGTCCAGGGGCCTGACCCGGTGCCGGTGATGGGAAATATGGCTGCTGCTGCCCTGGGTTTAACATTGCCGCGGCCGCGGCCGCAGCTGCTGCGGCCGCAGCTGCAGAAGAGGCATGCTGCTGTACGGGATGTACCGCAGCTGCAGAGCCTGGATGCAAGTGATGTTGAGGGTGGTGGTGGTGATGGAGGTGAGGAGGAGGGAGGTGAGGAAGGTGGTGGTGATGGTGGTGGTGGTGACCTGCTGCTGCTGCAGACGTACCGCCATTGTAAGCCGCCATCATTTTTGCGTTGGCTGTTGTGCCACAAAGAGACATTCAAAAAAATGCCCTTTGATTGGATAACAACTGGGTCAAGCTGTCATTTGGCCATAAAAATGAAATTTGCTACACTTTAAAAGAAGTTGGGTTTCATCATACACGGCCCACCTTTAAAATCATTGAGCTCAACCGGCCTTATCGCCTCACGAAGCCAAAAAATTTGGAGAACCTCTTCATGTGTGTACGAGCCAGCGTGCACAAAACCCCCTGTCCCCCAAGAGTCCAGCTGTGGTTGGCTACTGAAACTCCATCCTTGGGCAACTGGGTTGGGTCTCGTTTCACACCTTTTTTTTTTTTTTTTTGGAAATACAGGGATCAATCCCCCTTGCCTCCAGAAGGAGGACTGGAAGTCTCTGCCCTGGAATACCCTGAGAGGACTGACAAGTCTACCCCTTCCATTCCCACATCCTCACCCTGGATCTCCTCACGACCGCCCCAGAGAGCCCAGGCACCTCCTACATAGCTCCCTCCTTTATGCACCTGCTCCCTCGAATATAGTAAAGAACTTGCAGTTTGCAACTTTTCCTGGAAGGCCTGAAACACACACAAGCACCCAGAGAAAGTGAGGAGGGAGGGCAGGAGCGAGGAGAGCAGGACGAGGACAAGCAGGGGGAGGGCAGAAGAGAATGAAAAGAAGATAAAAATAGACGGAGGAAGGGAAAGGGACGGGGAAGGGAAGGGGGGGGGGAAAAAAAAAGAAAGCCCAGAGGAGAGCGAGGGAGACGGAGGTGCGGGGGGAATGGGAGCGGGGAAAGTGACAAATGAATGACAGGAAGGAGCGCGGGGAGGGAGAAGAAAGAGGGGCGAGGGGGAGGATGCGATGGGGAGCGGCGCGGGGACGGCGGCGGCGCCCC